TAAATCAAACGGTGGCTATTAGAAAAGACTAAAGAACTATATGTCTAAAAGTTTGCAGAAGATACGATAAAGAAAATATCAAAAAACTACAAATAATCACAAAACCCACAAATATTACAATTAAATAAAACATTATGGAAATAATTTATCAATTATTATGGGGAAAACTCTGTTCCCTTAAAAATTTATGTATTGAAGCTCTAACCCCCGTACCTCAGAATGTGACCTGATTTGGAGACAGTGTCTTTACCAAGTTAAAATGAGGTTGATAGGGTGGGCCCTAATTTAATATTGCTGGTGTTATCATAAAAAGGAAAATTCAGAGACAGACTCACACCGAGGGAGAATGCCATCTTCAAACCAAGGTGAAAGGCCCAGAACAGATTCTTTCCTCACAAGGAACCCATCCTATCAACATCTTAATTTTAAACTTCTTGTCTCTAGAACTGTATGACAATACATTCCTGTTAATTTTAGCCACCCACTTTGTGACAGCTTATTATGGCAGCCCTAGCAAACCAAAACACTAATGCATTTACAAATATGAAAAAAAAGACCATAGATGTCTAAAAAAATATAAAATGCCACTATGTAATGAGAATAAAGAATCATAGAATTGTAGAAATTAAAGATAAATAAATTGAAATGGCAGTTAAAATAATCTACTGATCTTTCAAAGGATAGCTAATTTTTCTATTGAACATCCTTCAAAAAATAGCAAAATGAGAAATTTACCCCGATTTAATAGGCTTTTTGATTTCTAAACAAGGTCAGAACAAGACAAAAAGAAACAAATTCATTTTCTTATGAAATTAGAAGTACAAATCCCAAGAAAATATTTATTTACTATATACAACAAAGCTGTTAAAAATTGATATTCAAGTGGATTTATCTTAGGAATGCTTTGATTTCAGAAAAGCAGTGCAAGCTATCTCATTAAAAAGCTTTGAAAGACCACAGGATTATTCAGTAAGTGCGTTTGATGACCATAAGAAAGCATTTGACAGCATTCAATGTCTACCTAAGTCCCTCTTGGGAAACGAGGAATAGAAAAACTGTTTCTTAATCTGCTAATGTTATATGTTAAATTTATACAGCATTTTTATAGTGCTTAATAATGAAAATTTAAACATTCCATTTAGGATTAAAAACAAGTAAAAAATGTTGACTGTAACTGCTACTGTTTGGTATAGTGTAGTGCAATGCTAAAAGTGATAACCAGACATATAAGAAATCAAAAGGAAGTACAAAGGAAAAGGATTGCAACGGAAGAGTTGTATCTGCAATATTTTCAGACAATTTGATTATATAAAAATAAGTACCGGGGAGTGTCATGGAGGCCTACGAGCAGGTCCAAAAGGGACCTCTTTCAAACTGCTCTGCTGTGTGTTCGTTCACCTTAGGAAGTTGCCAGAACAAGAAGGAAGGACATGCATTTTAATTAAAAATAATAACTGCTAGAGTTTTCCCAAACGCTCGTACATTTTTGTACTTCAACCGGTGGTGTATGCGTTTTGGTTGCTCTATATCCTAACGCTTGACACTGTCAGTCTTTTTCATTTTAACAGTGCCAGTGGCACACACTCATATTTCATTGTGGTTTTATTTTGCATTTTTCTTGTGACTAACAATATGGAACATCTTTTATGTGCTTCTTGGTCACTTGTGTGTATTCTTTCGTATTTGTTCAAGAAGTTGGTTCATTTTTTAATCAAGTTGTTTGTACTCTATCTCTAAATTACAGACCTTTTAATATTTTAGGATACTAGTCTTTTTTGGTACATGTAGTACAACTATTTCCTCCCAGTCTGTAACTTGTATATTTATATTTATAACAGTATCTTGTAACTTGAAATAAGCAAAAGTTTTAAATTTCTTTTCTTTTTCTTTTTTTTTTTTTTTTTTAATTGATTGAGACAGAGTCTCACTCTGTCACCCAGGCTGGAGTAAAGTAGCATGATTTCAATTACTGCAGCCTCCACATTCTGGGTTCAAGGGATTCTCTTGCCTCAGCCTCCCAAGTAGCTGGAATTACAGGTGCCCACCATCATGCCCAGCGAATTTTTCTTATTTTTAGTAGAGATGGGGTGTCACCATGTTGGCCAGGCTAGTCTCGAATTCCTAACCTCAGGTGATCTGTCGGTTGGCCTCCCAAACTGCTGGGATTACAGGCGTGAGCCACCATGCCTGGCCCTTAAACTTCGATTAGGTTCAATTTATCATTTTCTTTTAATTTTATACAGTATTTTCTCTGCTCTCTCTAAGACATCTTTATTAATTCTCATGTTCACAAACAACTTTTGTTTTCTAGAAATTTTATAGTTTTAGGTTTTATGTTCAAGTCAAAGATATATCTTAACTAAATGTTGTAAAATGATGTTGTACTATGGTAAAGTCTTTTTTTCTATTATTTTAATACCTTTTGTGTAAGGTGTGGCTTTGCTCATTACATTGCTTTGTTAACCTTGCAAAAATTATTTAACAATATATGTGTGTGTCAATTTCTGGACTCCTTATTGTGTTTCATCCATCTATACACCAATCTTTTCCCTCAAAACACATTGTCTTCATTACTGGAGTTTTATATTAAGTGTTACATTACTCTTTTGAGTGTCTGAAATTTGTGCAGTGGATTTTATCTTTTCCTCTTCCTTATTCCTCATTTTTCTCTAATCTTGAAAACAAAAAAAGAAAACTCATTTTATATTTTCTCTTTAGCTATTGTTTCTCTTGATGTAAGATAAATTACCAAACTCTTCTTATCAAACATTCTCTTTATAAACATCTTAGAATCTGGCTTCTCTCAATGCCTTCTTGAAATTGCTTTGTTACACATTATCTGTAGTCTGGTGATCATGAAAACTAATAACTTTTTTAGTTTTCATTCACTAAGGCTGCTTTAGGCTCTGAAGAAATAGAGAAAGCTTAACTTCTTTTTAAATTTTCTTTCTTCAAGTCCTCTTTTCTAATATTTGAACATATGTATATATATGTACATGTATATATATAAATACATGTAAAGCATATATGCATACAGGCATGCATACATGTGTGTGTATACATATATATATATATACACAATATATGTTTATGCACATATATACTATATACATATGTAGTCATGCACCACGGAGCAATGTTTTGGTCCATGACAGATTGCATAATGACAATGGACCCATAAGATTGCAATGAAGCTGCCCTGCAAAGGTGTTTCATTTTTGATCTTTTATGTGGTATTTTTACTGTACCTTTTCTATGTTTAGGTATGCAAGTATTTAGCATTGTGCTATAATTGCCTACAGTAATTAGTGCAATAACATGCTATCCAGGTTTGTAGTCTAGAAGCAACAGTCTGTAATATATAGCTTAGGTGTTAGTAGGCTATACTGTCTAGGTTTGTGTAAGTACACTCCATGATGTTCACACAATGACAAAATCACCTAAAGGCACATTTCTCAAAATATCTCCCCACTGCTAAGCCATGCATACATATGCATATACACATACATATGTATATTATATATATACACATATATTATATATATATATATACATATATACATCTATATATATGTACACACTCATTCTTCCTAGATTGTTTCTACATCTACTAATAATGTATCAAATACAATTATTTTATCATTAATAGAATTATTATTTGTTCTTAACCTCATAGCTTTTCCATAAGTGGGAAATCCTGTGTCTTCTCTAACTTTTTCTGCTTACCACAAATAAATAAATTACGGTTTTTATCTTGATAGTTTCTTGTTCAAACACACTGTTTCTTTCTGCCACGGCTTAAAGAATAAAGAAAAAAATATATCATTTAAAATCTTTTGTCATAACCATATGACTTTTTTTTTACTGTCTTCAATTTTTTTGCCTTATATATCTGTTATAAACATTTATGCTCATCGTGGATCTTTTGATGATCTTTATGCTCTTTTGCTTACAATCCCCCATTCAAACTACTTCCGCCTTTTGAGTAGCCTTTCCTTTCCTTCCTCATTCCCCTAAGACTAAGTGATTCTCCACTCACCCTCTCTCCATTTGAGCAGCTATAGCAATCTTTTTTCTTTTTTTTTTCTTTTTTTGGTACTTACCTTCCTTGCACTTTGTGATGGTTTTCTATTCTTTATTATTTTGAGATGTATATGCTTTTATTGATGATTTTTTGATTAACAATTATGAGGGAGGAATACACCAGCGATAATATCCAGTCAGTGTTTATTTAGAAACTTTTTAATATGTGTTGATTTAATTTGCAGTTTGCACGAGGAAGATTTGCCTTGTTGGTATGTGCTCCCTGATTATTATAGTGTTAATTTTTACAAAAACAGGTAAGTGGTTTAACTCATACACTTTCTATGGTTCTTCACACCTGAGAGGTCCATTTCTATGTCAAGCTTAACTCCAAATCTCCCAGATCTGGAGTAATGAAAGGGTTTTGTAGTGAACTTGTCCTCAAGTTTTTACCAGTACAACAGGTTTTACCATAATCCTTGCTTCTCCCTAAAGCACTCATAGTCTCACAATAGAATTATGTTCTTGACTTTATAGTTCTTGATATTTAGGAAAAATCATGTTAAATTCTCAGATGACCACCCGATGGCAATAGCAATAGCTATGTTACTGAATTGCCAGGGGCTCAGTCTAGGTCCCATTGCTCACAGCACAGAAAGCCAATCCCAAAGACGATGACTACGGCCAGGGAAAAAGACTTTTTATTTGGGAGATGGCAACAGGGAGAATGGGAAATCAGTCTCAAATTCACTCACCCACCTGACTAAAATTAGGGGTTCATACAGCAGGAAAGAAAGGTAACTATGTGTGAGAAAACAAGAGTTAGGGAGTGATAAAAAGGAGGAGTGGGAGTTGATCAATAGGAATTAGGGAGGGGCAGAAAAGAAGAGTGGGTCAACAGGGAGCAGGTGGTCAGTTAGGCAGTCATGACAGTGAGGAGTTGGGGATGTCATTGTCTGGATGTGGTGATCTGGTGACTTTCAGTTTCCTGATACTATCTGGGAGGCCTAAGGGTCAGATTCCTAAAGAAGGAACTCAAATAAGACGAATGTAAGTTTCAAGGTTTAAGGCCAGGAGGATCAATTTCTATATTTATTTTTTTTAAAACCCACATAAACATCAGTTTTATGAACTTGTTACAGCTAATTTTCTGTTTAAAATTTGTGAATTTGTAAGCCAATGTTAAATACACTATATTCTGTTATTTGTATTTAATCCTCATTAGACTAGGACACAGATATAAGAAAATCCATTTACAGACAAAAAATATACAGGACAGAATGAGTAAGTTGCCTCTCACAAATAATAAATTCCAGACCTAGGATCAAAAACCTTGTCTGTATCACTGTAATGCACGATAAATTTTAAAAATCATGCAGCTGTACTTCCATAATTGTAGCATTCCTTTAATTTCTTTTAAATCAAAAGTAAGTTATGCCACTAACCGTTGTTCTATAAAACATTTACTTATTTCTATTAGTCGAGAGACAAAATTTTACCTCTACCCTCTCAGGGTTTTGCTGCTGGGCCTGAGAATGAAATTGGGCACAAGACACATCAGCTTGAGCAAAACACATGCATTTATTTAATATAAGTTTTATGTGACATGTATGTCTTCCTATGAAAGCCTAAAAATTCAGTTAGAGTTGAACATTTAGATACTTAATTAAACAAAAGGTAATAAATTATGTAAATGTGGCAAGGAAAAGAGGGTTGATCTAGGGTAATTAATTGGGTGGAAAAGTGACCAGAAAGATAAATGTTAGTTTAACCAACGTTGTTTGCACACATTTCCTTTGGCCTCAACTACCTATCCTTGGTTATAAGACTGTTACTTTCCGTCTAGTATAGAAAGGCTATCTTTCACGTAGGTATTTTATCTCCTGCCTATAAGAAAAGAAGGAAGTTCAGAGTGTTTTGTCTTGTGTCTGCTGTTTTATAAGTGCCTTTAACTCAAAATAGTCTATATGCTAGAGTGACATATTTGGGGGCATCATGTTCTGAACTCCTTTACTATCATATTGAGTTAAAAGAAAAAATGAAGAAATAATGGCATATGTGACTTGTTGCCAGACTGTCTCATTGTAGGAGTTGCAATATTTGTAAAAATGAAGTTGTTAAATTTCCTCTGGGTGCTATGGGTTTATTTTGTGAAATGGATCTAAAGGTGGAATTTAATTATGGCCAAATAGCCCTCAGCAGTTGATTTTCAATATGCATGCTTCGCTTAATTTAGCACTTAAATTTGGCTAAGTTAGTGCTTAGCACTGCGGATTCTTGTTTGTTTGGTTTGAGTTTGGTTTGGTTTTGGTCGTTCTCAAGAATGCTGATAGTCTTCTTGTTTATAGTCTCCTCTGTCACTGTAGTATTAGAGCTTAATGTTACTGGTGTCCAAACATCTGGAAGTTAAATGTAGACAAGAGTTTCTACAAGAAGTTTTTTATATTCATTTACCTGTTGATTGAAAAGAGCAGAAAGACAAAAGAAGATATTTATGTGGCCAAAAAACATATGAAAAAAAGCTCATCATCACTGGTCATTAGAAAAATGCAGATCAAAACAACAATGAGATACCATCTCAGATCAGTCAGAATTGTGATTATTAAAAAGTTAGGAAACAATTAATGCTGGCAAGGCTGTGGAGAAATAGGAACACTTTTACACTGTTGGTAGGAGTGTAAATTAGTTCCATCATTGTGGAAGACAATATGGTGATTCCTCAAGGATCTAGAACCAGAAATACCATTTGACCCAGCAATCCCATTACTGTACTGGGTATATACTCAAAGGATTATAAGTCATTCTACTCTAAAGACACATGCACGTACATGTTTACTGCAGCACTATTTACAATAGCAAAGACTTGGAACCAAGTCAAATGTCCATCAATGATAGACTGGATAAAGAAAACATGGCACATATATACCATGGAATACTATGCAGCCATATAAAAGAATGAGTTAATGTCCTTTGCAGGGACATGGATGAAGCTGGAAGCCATCATCCTCAGCAAACTAACACAGGAACAGAAAACCAAACACTGCATGTTCTTACTCACAAGTGGGAGTTGAATAATGAAAATACATGGACACAGGGAGGGGAACATCACACACCGGGACCTGTGAAAGGGTAGTGGGTAAGGGGAGAGAGAGCATTAGGACAAATAGCTAATGCATGCAGGGCTTAAAACTACATGATAAGTTGATAGGTGCAGCAAACCACCATGGCACACGTATACCTATGTAACAAACCTGCACGTTCTGCACATGTATCCCAGAATTTAAATTAAAAATTTAAATTAAAAAAGAGCAGAAAGAAAGAGAGTTGAAACACAATATGTTTTATACCCTGTGTAGTAGTGTGTATCCACTTCTGAGCACTACGACAACAACAACAACAACAACAACAAATATACATCATGGTGGAGTAGAGAGTGCAGGCTTCGGAGTTTGCCCTACATTTGAGTTTGCCCTACATGAGTAGCACCATTTCTCAAAATAGAAGCCAGGAAAATAGAAAAAAAACGCATATACTGCTTGATCGCTAAATGATTTTCCTTACAGATGGGAGAAGTTAATTAATCTTCATTCTAGGGGTGAAGCTAATTTACAGGCTTCAAACCATGGAAGCAAAAAATAAAATTAATACAGTAGAATGAGTAGAAACACTTTTTAACTTATGATTTATCTTATCATTTCTTTCTTTTTTTTCAGTCATACGCTTAAAACATGCCAAACCTGTGGTATGTTCAGAGGACTGGGTTGGAGTAAGAGATAAGTGTTTCTATTTTTCTGATGATACCAGAAATTGGACAGCCAGTAAAATGTTTTGCAGTTTACAGAAATCAGAACTTGCTCAGATTGATACACAAAAAGATATGGTAAGAAAACAGAAAAGTCTTCAGTAATTTCAGAGATTACATTTTTATAAAAAGATAATGAAAGCAATAATAGCTAACACTATAATACAACTGAGCCTTGAACAATATGGGTTTGAACAGTGTGGATCCACTTATACATGGATTTTCTTCCCTCTGCCACCCTTGAGACACCAAAAGCAACCCCTGCTCTTCTTCCCCCTCCTCAGCCTACTCAATATGAAAACAGTGAGGATGAAGACTCTTAGGTTGCTTCACTTCCACTTAATGAACAGTAAATAAATTTTCTCTTCTTTATGATTCCTTAATACCATCTTTTCTCTAGCTTTGTTTTTTGTAAGAATACAGCATATAATTCAAATAACATACAAAATATGTGTTAATTTACTTTTATATTACCAGTAAGACTTCCAGTCAACAGTAGGCTACTAGTGGCTACATTTTCTGTTTTTGTTTTCTTTTTAAGAAAGGGTCTCACTCTGTTGCCTAGGCTGGAGTGCGGTGGTACAATCTCAGTTCACTGCAGCATTGAAATCCTGGGCTCAAGCAATCCTCCCACCTCAGCCTCCTGAGTAGTTGGGACTACAGGTGCACACCACATTGGCTAATTTTGCTTATTTTTTGTAGAGATGAAGTCTCGCTACGTTGCCCAGACTGATCTCAAACTGGACTCAAGCAAGCCTCCTTCCTCAGCCTCCCAAAGTGCTATAATTAGCTTGAGCTACCATGCCCAGCATGGTTGACTTTTTGAGTCAAAAGTTATATACAACTTTTGACTGCACAGGGGGTCAGTGCCCCTAACTGCCACATTGTTTAAGTCAACAGTATATGACAATATGTGCTAAACAGTGTTCTAAGCACTGAAACTTATGTAATCTTCTAGTAACACCCATGAAGGAGTTATTTAACTCTCCCTACTTTAAGGAGGGGAAAGTGGGTCACAAAAATGTTATGTAACCCAGCCAATGTTATAGCCATAAGTTGTTGAGCTGGGATTTGAACCCAGGCAAGATGACTCATGATGCCATGTCCTTTACCACAATGCATACTGTTTCCGTATCTAAATGTCTTCATTAAATGTTCTTAGATTATTAAGTAGATTATTTTTTGAACCATTTCAATTTGCATTCTACCAAGCATAGACTAAAAAAAATAAAATACAGCTCTTGAAATTTAGAGACAAGGATATGAAGGAAATATGTGCACTTTGAAGAAGCGAGTGAATTAATGGAAGTGAAGAAGGCGACACGTGGACTCTAGGGACACAGAGTAAGAAAACAGACTAGTTTTTAAAGAAAAGCTGGGGATTGGGGAGTGGGCAACATTTCCGGCTAGAAGTATTTGGTGTGCACAGCTTTCACGGAGAGGAACTGAAGTGGTAAGTAAATACAGCACTTTCAACTGAAATATCCAGGGTACACGCAATGGAACACATCATGGAAACAACTCAACCCATGGACAATGGAGAAAAGCAAGGCAGGCAGATGGCCAACCTGGGAATGACACAGAGCCAGGGGAACCTCTCCTTGTCCAGGGACATGGTGAGTGAATGTCCAACCCCAGGATCCCATGCTGCTCCCATGGATCTTTGCAACCCTCAGGTCAGGAGATCCCCTTGTGAACCAACTCCACCAAGGCCTTCTGTCTGACGGAGCAACCTGGAGCCTCAGGAGAGCAGCCACTCAGGCACGTGCAGAGACCTGGGAGCCTTAGCCAGGCTTTCCAGGCTTCCTAGAAAAAGTAGTTGCAACTCCAGCAAAGAGGGAGGTTATACACTACCTTACATGTCCCTAGTAAAGGGGCTGAATCCAGGGGGCTGAGCAGCGACATTCTCCAGGACCCACTTCCATGGCACCTCACAGGGTGGGACCTACTGGCTTGGAATTCTATCCAGCCATCAATAACAGCATTGCACCTCCCTAAGACAGCTCCTAGAGGGGAACGTGGGCCTCCATCTTTGCTGTTTGGGTGACTTAGCCATCCAGCCTTCAGGCTTTGGAGAATCCATGTTGACCAGGGGTGGAAGTGACCCCCCAGTACAGCACAGCTGCTCTACAAAAAAAGTGGCCAGACTGCTCTTATAAGTGGTTACCCAATCCCGTTCCTCCTCACTGGGCAGGGTATCCAATCAGGGTCTCTAGCCACTTCCTTCAGGTGTGTTCGGGCCGGCAATAGGTGTGTACCTGCCTGACACAGAGCTCACAGAGGGAGAGGCAGGCCACGATCTTTGCTGTTTTGCAGGCTTCACCGTTGGTACCTACAGGTATTGGAAAATTCGAGGTGAATAGGGACTGGAGATGGCCGCCGCCATGCCACAGCAGCCCTATGAAAAAGTGGCCAGGCCATTACATGGGTGCCCATCTCCTTGTCTCTTCACTAGGAGGGTCCTCCAGGTTTCAGTCTCCAGCCACCCCTCTCAAGAGCTGTCAAGCCAGTAGCAGCTCTGGAATGTCCTGGACAGAGCCTCCAGAGGCAATGAAAACCTCTCTGCCACTGCCTCTGCGCTGGAACCACCCTTGCTGCCCTCAGACTAATGAAGGAGCAAAGACCCTAAGTCTCTTATCCACACCTCCAGTAAGTTGCAGGAGAGGAGGCCAGTCCATCTTCACAGGCTCTGCCCACTCACCTTGACCAGACATGGAGCCCCCAGCTTGGGCCCACAGCACAGACTCTCCAACCTAGGCTGATTGCACTGAACGATTGCTTACTTGCATCTCTCTGGAGTGAAGCTCCTAGGAGAAAAGCAAAAGACTGTTGGCCTTAACCACAACTAAGATCCCTTCCATTGCCCCCTCAAAGCTGTGGAGGAAACATAAACACTGAGATCACCCAAGAGCTGCAGTGGGCAGCCTAGGAGTGCCAGGCACAATCTACAGCCATTACTCACCCCTATGAAAACATACATAAAAGAGGTCTGTTGACAGTACTAAATATGCACTGCAGTTAAAGTAACACCCACAGAGAGATGAGAGAATTAATGCAAGAACTCCAGTAACTCAAATAGCCAGATGTTATATGTTCTCCAAACAATTGCAACAGTTCTCCAACAAGAGTTCTAACCAGGCTGAACTGACTTGTTAACAGTTGAATGATATTGAAGGACAGAAACTCAATGCTATTTCTACCAAACTACCAATGACATTCTTCACAAAACTAGAAAAAATATGGAATCATAAAAGAGCCCAATAGCCAAGGCAATCCTGGCAAAAAGAATAAAGATGGGAGCATCATGTTATCTGACTGCAAACTATACTGCAGGGCTTCAGTAACCAAAACAACGTGGTACTGGTACGAAAAACAGGCATATAGACCAATGGAACAGAATAGAGAGCCCAGAAACAAGGCCACACACCTATGACCATCTCATCTTTGACAAAGCTGACAAAAACAAGCAATAGGAAAAGAAATCCCTGTTTAATCAATTGTGCTGGATAACTGGCTAGCCATATGCAAAAGATTAGAAGCAGGACTCCTTTCTTATACCATATACAAAAGTCAATTCTACATGTAAAACCCAAAACTATAAAAAGCCTGGAAGGTAACCTAAGCAATACCATCCTGGACATTGAAACAGGGAAATTTCATGACAATGACAACAAAAGCCACGGTGAACAAAAAAAATTGCAAAAATTGGCAGGTGGTGTCTACTTAAACGTAAGAGCTTCTGCACAGCAAAAGAAACTATTAACACAGTAAACAGACAAACTGCAGAATGAGAGAAAATTTTTGCAAGCTATGCATCTGCCAAGACAAAGGAACTTAAACAAATTTACAAGAGAAAAACAACCCTATTAAAATTGGACAAAGGACGTAAACAGGCACTTTTTAAAAGAAGACATACATGCCGCCAACAAACATAAAAAAAAGCTCAACGTCACTGATAATTAGAGAAAAGCAAATCAAAACCACAATGAGATACCATCTCACACCAGTCAGAATGGATATTAATAAAAAGCCAAAAAACTACAGATGCTGGCGAAGTTGCAGAAAAAAGAGAACACTTATACACTGTTGGTGGGAGTGAAAATAAGTTCCACTACTGTGGAAAGCAGTGTGGCAATTCCTCAAAGAGCTAAAAGCAGAACCACAGTGGTTGCAGTGGTGTTTACATGATTGACTTTATAATTCTTTTGTTATGGATGAATTAATTGTTTTGAATGTCTTCCCTTAACTCATAAGTCTGTCTACTTTTATCTTTGATCTAAAATTATTACTGACAGGACTGCATAAGACTCACATTTAATTAGTTAATTGCTTAATACAGAAGTTTGTTCAGTACTTATGTAAATGATGTACATAAAAAACTTTCTGGTCCTGTCCTATTGATCTCAGTTAGCACATTGCCGTGATTAACCCAGAACTATGTGATGACAGACATGACGGATATAACTATTGGTTAATGGCTCAATACCTGGGTGATGAAATAATCTGTAAAACAAACCTTCATAACACAAGTTCACCAATGTAACAAACCTTCACATATACCCCAGAACCTAAAATACAAGTTAAAGAACAAAAAGCTGACGAAGAGGTTTGTGGTTCAATAGCAAAAAGCCAATAGAGGAATGACTAAACCCATCACTTAATATATTTCGTTCAGTAAATTATATTCATATAGAAGTTAGTTTCATATCTGATTATGTAAAAAATACAATATCAGTGACATTCATATTGTAGTATAGAATCAAAGTAATTTATCATTGGGTTTTTCTATTCTAATAGTACTTACATTTTCCATTAAACTCCTCCCCCTGCAATCCCTCTTCTATGATTTTTGGAAGAGTACCTGTGCACACAAAAATATATCTAAACATTAGTTCTCTATCATCCTTGAAGAAGATGCTGTATCAGATCTCATAGAACTTGCTAAGGTTTTATATTGTCATCTAGGCAAATTTAACATCATATTAATTGATAGCCTATGTCATTCAATCTGTGACTAGAACGTAATGGTTTAGGAATTTGAACTCAAAGGAAATAAACTCAAATATGGTTTTGTCATTAATTTCCAACTAGAGACATGGAAGCTACCCTTAAAGATAACCAGAGTGTAGCTCAGCATCAATTACTTGATTATAGCCCAACTATTTGAAGATACTTAAGATGCAGAAAAGCAAAATGAAAACCTTTCTGACAAAACTAACAAATATCAGTGTCTGTGCCGTTTGTTATTTTAGAAGCCCCAGGGAAGACAAATCAGAATGTGAATCCTAAAAGATGGAATAATTGGGGTGGGAAGCATCTTCAGCAATGTACTGTAACATATTAAGTAATTGATGATTCCCTTTGCTTTGTGAAAGGAATTTTTGAAGAGGTTCGCAGGAACGGATATGTACTGGATTGGACTAAGCAGGAAACCAGGAGATTCTTGGAAATGGACAAATGGCAACACATTCAATAATTCGTGAGTTTCCAATGTATTAGGAATGTTCTTATTCTGATGTTGCATAAAAAATTTTTTAACCATTTTCAGTTGTGTTAATATAAACAAATCTTTCTCTATTCTATGTGTGATTCACTTTTCAGTCTCCTGTCTATGACATGGGCCCTTTCACATTGAAGCACACACTAGAGTAACCCACTTTCTTCTCACCTTGTTAAATAACACATGGTGGAATTTTCCATTTTTATTTTTATTTGTTATTTTATCTTTATTGTCAAGCTCTTGCTTTACAATAAGCTCTTGCTTGACAATAAGTGCTCTTTTGCTAATTCAAATTCAACCATTCTGCCAATTTTAAACCCAAACTCGTGTATTACTTGTACCTCTTTCCAGCTAATTAAGTTTATGTAAGATCTCTTTGTCTTTAAAGAGTTAAAGACCTTATAATTGTCTTTAACATTTCAAATGTCTGCCACAATGAATAGTATTTATTTTTATTTATTTATTGCTTATTTAATTTATTTTTTTTTCTGTAAACATTTCCTGAGTGAATTAAAATTGTTAACCATCATTCTCAGCAAACTGACACAAGAGCAGAAGATCAAACACTGCATGTTCTCACTCATAGGCAGGTGTTGAACAATGAGAACACATGGACACGGGGAGGGGAGCACTACACACTGGGGTCTGTGGGGGGGAAATAGGGGAGGGACAGTGGGGGGTGGGGAGTTGGGGAGAGATAACATGGGGAGAAATGCCAGATATAGGTGATGGGGAGGAAGGCAGCAAATCACACTGCCATGTGTGTACCTATGCGACTATCTTGCATGTTCTTCAAATGTACCCCAAAACCTAAAATGCAATTAAAAAAAAAGAAAAAAACATATATATATATATAAAGTGTTTATTGGGATAAAACAGTTAAAGATTGCGTAGTTGTCTTTAGCTTTCCAAATGTTCATCATAAGCAATATTGTATTTATTTTTTAAATTTTTGATTATTTTTTATTAGTTTACTTTTTTATTTATTTATATAACTGTTTCTCGGATACATATGTATTTCTGCCTTATTATTTTAGTTAAGTGCTAGATAATAAAAACAACCAATAATATAAATATTGAAATATGCGAGACAGGACAAATTGTATTTATAAATAAGTAAAGATTTGGTTATCAACAAAGAAAACTAATTTAAAAACTATATATATATATATATAATTTTACTGTAAGTTCTGGGATACAAGTTCAGAATGTGTAGGTTTGTTACATAGGTATGTATGTGCCATAGTGGATTGCTGCACCTATCAACATCTAGTTTTTAAGCCCCACATGCATTAGCTATTTGTCCTAATGCTCTCACCCCCTCAACTCCCTGACAGGCCTGGGTGTGTGTTGTTCCCGTCCAGGTGTCCATGTGTTCTCATTGTTCAACTGTCACTTGTGAGTGAGAACATCCGGTGTTTGGTTTTCTGTTCCTGTGTTAGTTTGCTGAGGATGATGGCGTCCAGATTTAACCATGTCCCTGCAAAGGACAGAACTCATTCCTTTTTATGACTGCGTAGTATTCTGTGGTACCACTATGTATCACATTTTCTTTAACCGGTCTATCATTGATAGCCCATTTTGGTTGATTTCATGTCTTTGCTATTGTAAATAGTGCTGCAGTAAATACGTGTGTCCATGTGTCTTTATGATGGAATAATTGTATTCCTTTGGGTATATATCTAGCACTGGGATTGCTGGGTCAAATGGTATTTCTGGTTCTATATGGTTGAGGAATCACTACACTGTTTTCCACAATGGTTGAACTAACTTACATTCTCACTAACAGTGTAAAAGCATTCCTATCTCTCCACATCATCACCAGCATCTATGGTTTCTTGAGTTTTTAATAATTGCCATTCTGACTGGCATGAGATGGTATCTCATTGTGGTTTTGATTTGCATTTCTCTAATGATCAGTGATGCTGAGCTTTTTTTTAAATATGTTTGTTGGCTGCATAAATGTCTTATTTTGAGAAGTGGCTGTTTATATCCTTCTCCCACTTTTTGATAGTTTTATTTTCTTGTAAATTTGTTTAAGTTCCTTGTAGATCCTGGATATTAGACCTTTGTCAGATGGGTAGATTACAAAAATTTTTCCCATTTTGTCAGTTGCCTATTCACTCTGATGATACTTCCTTTTGCTATGCAGAGGCTCTTTAGTTTAATTAGATTCCATTTGTCAATTTTAGCTTTTGTTGCAATTGCTTTTGGTGTTTCAGTCATGAAGTCTTTGCCCATGTCTATGTCCTGAGTGGTATTGCGTAAGTTTTCTTCTAGGATTTTTATGGTTTTGGGTTTTACATTTAAGTCTTTAATTCATCTTGAGTTAATTTTTCTGTAAGATGTAAGGAAGGGATTCAGTTTTAGTTTTCTGCATATGGCTAGCCAGTTTTCCCAGCACCATTTATTAAATAGGGAATTCTTTTCCCATTGCTTGTTTTTGTCAGGTTTGTCAAAGATCAGCTGGTTGTAGACATGGCATTATTTCTGAGGTCTCTGTTGTGTTCCATTGGTCTGCATATGTGTTTTGGCACCAGTACCATGTTGTTTTGGTTACTGTAACCTTGTAGCAAATTTGAAGCCAGATAATGTGATGCCTCCAGCTCATTCTTTTTGTTTAGGATTTTCTTGGCTATATGGACTTTTTTTTTGGTTTTATATAAAATTTGAAGTAATTTTTTTCTATATCTGTGGAGAATGTCAGTGGTAGTTTGATGGGAATTGGATTGAATCTATAAATTACTTTGGGCAGTATGGCCATTTTCATGATATTAATTTTTCCTATCCATGAAGATGAAATGTAAAAAAACATTGTAAGCAGTCTCAGGTTTCTACTGCAGTATGTTTCAAAAGTACCAAGTAAATATAAATCTTATTTTTACTTTTTGAAAAAGTACATCTACTAAAATTAGGCCAGAAAGCTGATTTTTTTAAATTTCAGAGATCTTTGAATTTGGCAAACACTCTCTTTCTTTCCATATAGAGAGGAAGAAAGGAAAGAAGGAAGGAGGGAGGGAAGGAAGGAAGGAAAGAAGGAAGAGAGGGAGGGAGGGAGGGAGGGAGGGAGGGAGGGAAGGAAATAATGATTTTGCCCCTGTCTTTATATATCTATATGTGTCTGTCTGCCTGTCTACAAATTGTTTTAAATAGGGTTACAGGTTTTAACTCCAACAAACACTTAAAATACTTATATTCAGTCTTATTTTCCCTTAGTATGCCAGATATTTTAATGTAGCATATGAAGATGGGTGGGTATATTTTCTGGGAACTCACTGTTTGGTATATTTCAAATCATTCTATTCTTAATTGTCTTTTTGATTACAGCTGTAAGTGATTTCCAGACTAATTTAGAGTGTTCTTTTTCAGGTTTGAAATTACAGGGAATGGATTCTATGCTTTCCTGAGTGCTGATGGAATCCATAGTTCCAGAGGACTTATTGATATCAAGTGGATTTGCAGCAAACGTAAGTAGTTTTATTTTATTTTAATTTTTATTTCAGTAAAAGTTGTTTTTCTAATTTTTTTTTAACTTTTGGTTCTGGGGTACATGTGCAGATCATGCGGGATTGTTGCATAGGTACATACATGGCAATGTGGTTTGCTGCCTCCATCCCTCATCACCTATATCTGGCATTTCTCCCCATGTTATCACTCCCCAATCTCCCCACCATCCCCCCATCAAAAAAACTTGAAAATAACTATCACACTTCTAAGATAAAAAGAAAAGCTACTAGAGGGATTGTTGGCAAGGTAGCCAAATAGGAAAAGCTCCAGTGGGCAGCTCACAGTGAGAGCAGTGCAGAAGGCAGGTGATTGCCACATTTCCAACTGAGGTGCCTGGTTCATCTCATTGACACTGGTTAGACAGTGGGTACAGCCCAAGGACGGGGATCCCAAACAGGGCGGGGCATCACCTCACCTGGGAAGTGCAACGGGTTGGGGAACTCCCTCTTCTAGCCAAGGGAAGCCTTTAGGGACTGTCCCATGCACTCCAGCCCAGATACTGCACTTTTCCCAGCGTCTTCACAGCCTGCACACCAGGAGACTACCTCCAGTGCCTACAACACCACGACCCTGGGTTTCCAGCACAAAACTGGGTGGCCATTTGGGGAGACCTCAAGCTAGTCACAGCAGTTTTTTTTCATACCCCAGTGGCACCTGGAACACTAGTGAGACAGAACTGTTCATTCCCCTGGAAAGGGGGCTGAAGCCAGGGAGCCAAGTGATCTGGTTTGGCAGGTCCCACCCGAACAAAGAGCAGCAAGCTAAGATCCACTGGCTTGAGATTCTCACAGCCAGCACAGCAGTCTGAGCTCGACCTAGGACATTGGAGCTCAGTGGGAGGAGGGGCATCTGCTATTGCTGATGCTTGAGTATGTGATTTTAACCTCACCTGTTTAAACAAAGTTGCTGAGAAGTCCAAACTAGGCAGAGCCCGCAGCAGCTCAGCAAGGCCTCTGCAGGCAGGCTGTGCCACTAGACTCCCTCCTGGTTAGGCAGGGCATCTCTGAAAAAAGGCAGCAGCCTGTCAGGGACCTATAAATAAAGCCCTCACCTTCCTGGGACAGAGCACATGGGAAAATGGATGATTATGGGTACAGCTTCAGCAGACTTAAACATCCTTGCCTGGCAGCTCTGAAGAGAGCAGTAGGTCTCCCAGCACAGTGTTTGAACTCTGATAATGGACAGACTGCTTTCTCAAGTAGCTCCCTGACTCCCGTGTATACTGACTGGGAGACACCTCCCAGAAGGGGCCAACAGATGCCTAATACAGAGCTCTGGCTGGCATCTGGGGGGTGCCCTTCTGGGCTGAAGCTACCAGAGGAAGGAACAATCAGTGATCTTTGCTGTTCCTTAGCCCCCTGCTGGTGATTCCCAGGCAAGCAGGGTCTGGAGTTGACCAGACCCAGCAAACTCCAACAACAGACCTGTAGCAGAGGGGCCTGACTGTTAGAAGGAAAACTAACAAACAGAAATAGTTTCAACATCAACAGAAAGAATGTCCACTCAGAGACCCCATTCAAAGGTCACCAACTTCAGAGACAAAAGGTGGATAAATCCACGAAGATGGGAAGACATCAGTGCAAAAAGGCTGAAAATTTCCAAACCCAGAACACCTCTTCTCCTCCAAGGGATCACAACTCCTCACCAGCAAGGGAACAAAACTGGACAGAGAATGAGTTTGACAAATTAACAGAAGCAGGCTTCAGAAGTTGGGTAATAACAAACTTCTCTGAACTAAAGGAGCATGTTCTAACCCAATGCAAGGAGGCTAAGAACCTTGAAAAAAGGTTAGACAAAATGCTAACTAGAATAACCAATGTAGAGAAGAACATAAACCACCTGATGGAGCTGAAAAACACAGCACAAGGACTTCATGAAGTATATACAAGTTTCAATCGATCAAGTGGAAGAAAGGATATCAGACATTGAGATCGACTCAATGAAGTAAAGCTAGAAGACACATTAGAGAAAAAAGAGTGGAAAGAAATGAACAGAGCCTGCAAGAAATATGGGATTATGTGAAAAGACCAGATCTACGTTTGATCGGTGTACCTGAAAGTGACCGGAAGAATGAAACCAAGTTGGAAAACACTCTTCAGGATATTATCCAGGAGAACTTCTGCAACCTAGCGAGGCAGGCCGACATTAAAATTCAGGAAATACAGAGAACACCACAAAGATATTCCTCAAGAAGAGCAATCCTAAGACACATAATCATCAGATTCACCAGGGTTGAAATGAAGGAAAAAATGGTAAGGGCAGCCAGAGAGAAAGGTTGGGTTACCCACAAAGGAAACACATCAGATTCACAGTGGATCTCTTGGCAGAAACCCTACAAGCCAGAAGAGAGTGGGGGCCAATATTCAACATTCTTAAAGAAAGGAATTTTCAATCCAGAATTTCATATCCAGCCAAACTAAGCTTCATAAGCGAAGGAGAAATAAAACTCTTTATGGACAAGCAACTGCTGAGAGATTTTGTCATCACCAGGCCTACCTCACAAGAACTCCTGAAGGAAGCACTAAGCATGGAAAGGAACAACCAGTACCAACCACTGCAAAGACATTACAAATTGTAAAGACCATCAATGCTATGAAGAAACTGCATCAACTGAAGGACAAAACAACCAGTTAGCACCATGATGGCAGGATCAAATTCACACATAACAATACTAACTTTAAATGTAAACGGAGTAAATGCCCCCAATTAAAAGATACAGTCAATACTTATCGGTGGGCTGTATTCAGGAGACCCATCTCACATGCGAAGACACACATAGGCTCAAAATAAAGGGATGGAGGAATATTTACCAAGCAAATGGAAAGCACAGAAAAGCAGGAGTTGCAATCCTACTCTCTAATAAAACAGACTTTAAATCAAAAAAGATCAAAAGAGACAAAAAAGGGCACTACCTAATGGTAAAGAGATCAATGCAACAACAAGAGCTAACTATTCTAAATATATATGTACCCAACACAGGAGCACCCAGATTCATAAAGCAAGTTCTCAGAGACCTACAAAGAGACTTAGACTCCCACACTATAATAATGGGAGACTTTAACAAAGAAATGGCGTAATTATAGTCATGTGCCTGGTCTATTATTCCACCAAATGCTTAGAAGGAGTTAAAATCCAAGGAATAGAAAGCACATGTGATAGATGAAGGAGGCAGATAAGGGAGGAGCCTCAGAGAATCTCTGACCCACCCCAAAAGTGTTTACATCAGATGCTTTTGTGCAGATGAGGGATCCTGCACAAAATGGACTGGGGGCCTACTTGCACACTGGAAGAATGGGGTGGAACTACCAGGAATTCAAACTTTATGCAGGTAGGGGAGCCTGGCCTCTTCGGCTTGCAAGCGTGGTGGCCTGGTATTCAATATGCCAGTTGGGACTGTTAGCAGGATGCCTCCCTCCACTTTTTTTTTTCTGAGCGCTTTCTTTTGATAAATTCTGCTCTCCTCACCTTTCGATGTGTCCACGTGCCTAATTTTTCCTAGTGTGTGACAAGAACCTGGATTTTAGCTCAACTAAGTCGCAAAAATCCTGCATCACATAGAAAAAGTGACAGAATGAGATTAAATTTAATTTTTTAATATATTGAAAAATAAGGTTTTTTGGTTTTCCATTAAAAATAATACCCCCAGAAACAGAGAATAACATGCTAGTTTCCAGGAGCTAGAGGGAAAGGGAAATGGGAAATTGTTGCTCAAAGCACAGAAAGTTTCATTTATACAAGATAGTAAGTTCTCTAAGAGGCTGGGCATGGTGGCTCACGCCTATAATCCCAGCACTTTGAGAGGCAGAGGTGGGCAGATCACTTGAGGTCGGGAGTTTGAGACCAGCCTGGCCAACATAGTGAAACCTTGTCTCTACTAAAATTACAAAAATTAGCTGCCCATGGTGGCACATGCCTGTAATCCCAGCTACTCGGAAGGCTGAGGCATAAGAATGGCCTAAATCTAGGAGGTGGAAGTTGCAGTGAGCTGAGATCACACCACTGCACTCCAGCCTGGGCAACAGAGTGAGACACCACTTCCAAAAAAAGAAAAATTAAGAAATTATATTTCATGTTGTGTTCTTATAAAACTAAAACCAGGTAGACACAAAGACCATAAGGACATATTTGGAGGTGATGAATAGGTTTAGTACCTTAGCCGTGGTGATGGCATCTCAGGTATACACAACCTCACCAGAAAGTATATATTAAGTATGTGCAATATTTTATATATCAGTTTGACCTCAATAAAGCTTTAAAGAATAAATGTATTAAAAATAAAAATGAGTTATTATATTTTTAAATTTAAAAGCGTTACATTAGCATTTTATATTTGGATAGAAAATGAAATACATTTGTATTTCACTAAAGAAAAAAAATAGGTACTGTTAACATCCATACATATTTCTTTCAATTCTTTATTTACATGCACAGATTTGCTTTTATTCTTTTCTGTTGTTAAAGTATTTGGCCACATGACTTTATTTTATTTGTATAAATTTAAGGGGTACAAGCATAATTTTGTTACATAGATATATCACATAGTGGTGAAATCTGAGCTTTTAGTTTATCCATCACCTGATTAGTTTGCATGATATCAATTAGGTTCTTTCTCAGCACCCACTCCCCACCAAACACTTCAGGCTACAATACCCAAATGAAAAATTCACAATTATTCCATGTTTCATATATTATACTTGTACATATGTTGCTTCTTTCCTTCTCATCTAACACATAGCACATATAGTTAAATAACATTCCTTTAAAGTTGTCTTATTCTATGCTATTTTAAATGCAAAACATATGAAACTGTTAAATAACTATTTGCTTTTTATTTAGCTTTTATTGTACAGCCATGGAAAAGACAAAACCGAAATCCAAGTATGGAGTAAAAGTTCTGTTCAGAAGTTGTCTTTATAGTCAATTTAGGACAAACTACTTTTCTCCTTTTTGGATGGTGTCTGTTAGCAGAAACTTTCTTTTAGAAACTTTATCTAAAAAACTCAAGTCTTTAAAATCAGGCTGTGCTTTAACATGTAAGGTATTTCTACATTTTGTTGTACATTTACACACTACTGGGTCTATTGTGCGTCAAGATCGCATCTCTCTGGCAAATGCCATTAAACGTGGAGCTACAGTCTTCAGAATACACCTGCTTTCCTGTGATAACGGCACAGCTCCTGTTATCAGTTGGTCCAATCACCGAAAACCTAAGAGATAAAGAATAGATTTTTGAGCATCTATCTTAAAATGATGATAGTATCTTTTTTTTTCTTTTTTTGAGACGGAGTCTCACTCTGTCGCCAGGCTGGGGTGCAGTGGCGTCTGAGCTCACTGCAACCTTCCACGCCCTGGTTCAAGCCATCCTCCTGCCTCAGCCTCCCAAGCAGCTGAGATTACAGGCACGTGCCCCCACACCCAGATAATTTTTGTATTTTTTGTAGACACGGGGGTTTCACCATGTTGGCCCAGTTAGTCTCGATCTCCTGACCTCCCAAAATGCTGGGATTAGAGGCATGAGCCACTGTGCCCGGCCCGATGTTAGTATCTTTTAAAGTTTCCTCCAGCCAGACTTTTATAGGTAATTCTCCAGCAGCCAACGTTTTGCACATGTTTTAGAATGGAATTTTCGTTGCTAATGCAGCCTCTTCCCCTCTTTCCTGTCTTAGTAACAACGCCATGCAAGCTCAAGCTAGACTAGAAGACATCCCAGCTTCTTCCTTACCTCTCAAACCTCTCATTGCATGTACCTGCAAGACCTGAGTATTCTATTTCCAGATTATCCCTTCTATCCGTTCACTTCCCCCAGCTTCTCAATTTAGACTCAAGCTACCATTGTCTCTCCCTCGTCTCTAGTCATAGCCTTTGCACCGACCTCCGTAGTTTCAATTTTGTCTCCCATCTATTCATTTTCCACATAGCAGCATAAATAATTTTGTGTATGGTAAGTAGATGCCAAAATAAATGTTTTCAATAAAAACTACACAATGATAGATATGCTATAACAATGTGGGTTGGGAGGCAGCCAGCCACCCAGGATTTTAAGTCAAAGTAAGACCTATTAGATGACTCTTAAATTTATTATATAACTTCCACAATATAAGGTAGGATGATGCATGATGTATGAATGGAATGACTTTGAAGAGAGCTATTTCGCAAACTATTTTTTCTAGTTATTAATAATTTAAGAAAATATAAACTGAACACTATTATAACCACCTGCATGTGTGTTGTTTCCCTTAAACGATAAGATAAAAGCTTTTAAAACGGATATGTTGCCTTTATAGTAATACTGGTTTCCCAAAAAGTAAAAAAATTAAAAATAATATAAATTATAATAAAAATTAGTAAGAAATATTACTTATTTTTCAAAGATTGTATTAAAAGCAGGTCCAGGAAATGTATACAACTTCATATGTTAGTTTTATGTTTATGAAGGATAATAAATGTAGAATAGATGTACCTAGAAGCAGATAACTATCAACTGAAATGAACTATCACTCCACGTTCTTTGCTTTTACCACATCTCAAATGTTCTGGCAATATGACTAGTAAATGAAAGTACAGAAGAAAATCAGAATTTTAAAGCACTCTTACATGCAATACCTCATGTCGTTCACATAAGAACAATGTAAAGAAAGTACCATTGTTCTTTTTATACTGATGTACAGGTATCAGGCTGGGCGTGGTGTCTCACACCTGTAATCTCAGCACTTTGGGAGGCTGAGGTGGGTGACAGTTTGGAGTTGGAAACCAGCCTGGGCAACATGGAGAAAACCCGTCTCTACAAAGCACACAAAAAGTTAGCCAGGTGTACTGGCACACACCTGTAGTCCTAGCTACTCTGGAGGCTGAGGCGGAAGGGTTGCATTATCAAGTGAGCTATGATCATGCCACTGCACTCCAGCCTGGGCCACAGAGCAAGGCTCTGCTGAAAAAGGAAGAAGGAGGGAAGGAAGGAAGGAAGGAAGGAAGGAAGGAAGGAAGGAAGGAAGGAAGGAAGGGGTATTAACATGTTTAGTTGAATTTCTGAAGGCCAAAATTTTTTAATTCATGTTTTCTGATTTCAACTTTAGACCTTTCTACATATTCCAGCTGCTTTTATTTACAGGCAAATTTTGTCTTTGCATTTACCACATAAAAAGATTTGCATAATATTATTTCAAATGAGATTTAAATCAGTTTAGAAATTTAAAAATTATTATGAATTTTGGACAATTAAAATGCCAGATGACAAATGCTTTCCATCCCCATTTTTCAAAATCAGTTAATAGAAAAGAAGAGAAGAAGCAAAAAAACAAAGGTAGGGGGAAGGAAAAAAAAGAGCTAGAAAGGAAAAAAAAGAAAACAAAATTAAAGATGAGGGAAAATGGAGAAAGAAGGACAAAATGAATGGAAAGTAAGGAAGCATAATTTAAAAAATAATTTCATCAATAAACATTATCACCCCTCCCTTACAAATAACTACTCACAATTGTGGAACTAAAAAGCGTTCATCTATCCACATCCATAGGTTTCCTTGGGATGTAACATGTAATCCAATCCAACCAAAATGCCCAGGTTTTAAACTGTTCTGTATGAACTTCTGTAGAGAAAATGGTGTATTTATTCATTCATTTGTTTAAACAAATTTTGATGTCTTCTACAGAGTAAATCTCCGTGCCAGGCATTAATAAAATATATTTTATATACATTATCATTTTCATACAATAGTAACTACCTTATGATTAACACATGTTCAAAAGTAATGACAATAAACCTCCCATGCTGCTTTTTTTTTTTTTTTTGAGACAGAGTCTAGCTCAATCGCCAGGCTGGAGTGCAGTGGCCCGATCCCGGCTCACTGCAACTTCCGTTTTCTGGTTTCAAGCAATTCTCTTGCCTCAGCCTCCTGAGTAACTGGGACTACCAGCACGCACCACCACAACCGGCTAATGTTTTGTACTTTTAGTAGACAGGGTTTCACCATGTTGGCCAGGATGGTCTCTATCTCTTGACCTCGTGATCCGCCCACCTCCCAAAGTGCTGGGATTACAGGCGTGAGCCACCGCGCCCAGCGCCTCCCATGCTTCTTAGACAGTGAACCTGCACCTAGCAAGTTTTCCCTGTGCAGTTAGATCCTTTTTTTTGATTTCTCACCAGCTCATCCAAATTTTGAATCACCAGTAAATGCGCCTGTAGCCGTGTGCAATCACTTTGACTCTCTTTCCACGTTTTAAAAGAAGTTGAAAAACAATAACATTTCCCTTGGTTCAACAGCCAGTCATTTGGGCACAAATAATTATGTCCTGAAGAAAACATAGGGGAAAATTAATTAAACTTTATAGCCAATTGGGAAGATATAAATATTATCAAATGTGATTTCTTGGAAAATGGATTTTTCCAACTTATTTTTTGTCATGAAAAAAGCAGTTCTATAAAATGAGAATAATTTACTAACCTGTCTATTTCCTGGAATTGGACAGGGTGTTGGATGATGGAGTAGGGAGATCAAAGTCTGTGGATTCTGATCCCCATAATCGGAGGAAGCAAATTATAACATTTTTGACAGTTAATTACCAACTGAAAAAGTAAAAGCTTATTGTTTAATTTTCCTCCACTACCTGGTTCTAAGTCCTTTGACATTTCAAGATTGTCTTTGCAACCTGTATTCCGTGTCTGTGAGATTACTTGCAATTACTGATGCATTGGGTACTTATTCTCCTGTGCTTTTCATTCATACTGTTACCTTAGTCTTGAATAGCCTCCTCTTCCTTCTTTACCTGCTAACTTTTTCTTTAATGTACAATTATATTCCCACCTCAAAAAGGAAGCCTTGAACCAGTCAATTTCTGCTGTCTGTAAAACTCAACACTTAGGTATCATAAATGATATCTTTGCTAAAGCAAAGGACAAATAGTTTGCATCCTAGTCACTTGTAAACATCTCCGTATCTTCCACATGATTGAAAGGCTTGTGAGGTGAGACTGTCACATTCATCTTTGATTTTCTTATCATTCAACACTTTGTATGTAATAAATGATTGTTGTTGAATGTTGAATGGTTGTATTAAATATTTTAAGTTAAAGCATGTAATATTTTCATTGTTAATATTTTAGTATGTCAACTATAAGCCTAAAATTTTATTTAAAAATTAATTTTGGAAATTAAATTATATGTCCAGCCAAGCTTTAAAAAGTAATCTGAGCAGGTATAACTTGAAGAAGGTTATTATGACTTAAATTTAGATTTATGAAACTTCATATATATTCTTAACTCATTAATACATGCTATATCTGGGCAAGTGTTGCCAATGCTGAAAATATTATCATTTAGAAAAATTGTGAAAAGATTCAGGATAATGAATTGTAATTTCAGTTGTACAAATACATAGTTGTTTGCTAAAAGGTATAAAATGACCTCTAATATACCTCTCAAGTTACGATTTGAGAGGGGATATTTAGTCATGATTATTAATGAGAAGGTGTCATTTAAATGAAGTAATTTTATTATGTAGATATTGACAGACTGGTCAATGAAGTATTACTGCAGTGCTGCAAAACACAATAAAAATACTCCAAATGATCAGTGTAACATGATGTGGATGCTAACTGTCCAAAAGAGTTATTGTAGGTAACTCAGCTTGAAGTGCTATCTTCTCTAAGAAGAAGAAATACAGGATGAAAATAGAGAAAAGTATTTATTGAACAGCACTTTGCATCAATTGCTCTCTTAGAGGCTTTACGTAATAATAACAACTTACACATACAGCAGTTGTTGTGGGCCAGGCAGGTTTCTAAGCATCTTATATACATTCAGTTTTTAAAATAACTTTGTAGAGTTAAATGACACCAGAGAAGTATGAAAAGGAAAAATCAGAATATAAAAAATTCTGCCCAACCATGACCTACTTTTTGACAAATAAATGGCAAAGAACAAATAAAAGGAGGAGATAAGGATCTATAAATTAGAAGAGGCATATTCTATAAATGATCTATAAATTCAAGAGGCATATTAACCAAATGCAATTAAAGTCTTTGATTATAATTCTTAGAAATCCAATGAAAAGAAAAGAAAGATTTTAATGCTATTAGAGGATATTAAGAAGTTATTGCTAATTTTGTTAGGAATTGTGGTAGACAGAATTTCAAAATGGCCCCTTAGATGCAGCCTCTGGTGCACATGACCTTTGTAATTCCTTCGTGACTGTGGGTAAGACTGTGAATGTGATGAAATGTCACTCACATAATCAGGTTATATTAGATAGGAAGATGACAAGATTTTAAAAACAAAACAGAAGAAGGGTCCCCAGTCTGTTGATTTTGAGTTAATCTATAGAAAGACTACCCCAAGTAGGTCTGACTTAATCAGATGTAAGTCCTTGAAAGAGGGCTGAAGCCTTCCCTGAAGAAAGAGAGAACTCCTGTTGCCTTTAAAGAATTCAGCTTCCATGTTTCAAGAGGGTGTATGAGAAAGACACATGGCAAAGAAATGCAGAGGCCTCCAGGGGCTTAGAGGGGTTATGGCTGAAAGCCGGGAAGAAAGCGGTAACCTATATCCTAAACCACACGTAATTGTTCCAGCACCATGAGAGAGCTTGGAAGAGGAGCCTCAGCTCTAGAGAGATGGGTGGTCTGGCCAGCGTCACATCTACACTGCACTCCCTGTGAGACCCTGAGCAGAGGACTTAATTAAACTGGGCCGTGACTCCCAACTCATGGGAACTGGGTGGTAACAAGCATATGTTGTTAAACTTCTGAGTGTGTGGTAATTTGTTATATACCAATCAAAAACAAATGCAGGAGTTGCAGTGATATTGTGATTGTGTTATAGCAAAAGGCATCTTAAGCTATAAGATTCACATACAGAAGTATTTATATATTAAATGGTATGAGATCGAGTCACTATTTTAATATAATCTAGCTTGGGGACGGGGACGTGATGATAGTGGAGATATAGATGGAAAATATTGATGTGGAGATGGAAATATTGTACCTTTCAAACAGGTACAAGGAGATTTATTATATAATTCACTCTACTTTCCTTTATATTTATATAATACAAATTTAAGTATATAATAAAATAAAACCTTATTAAGTAGGCGTCATTATTACCTCCAATTTACTGATGAAGAAATTGAGGTATATAGAGATTGTTTAACTCTATGTACTGCTGCAACATATAAATATCAGAACTGAAATTCTAACCCTGCTAGCTTAGTTCTACAGCCTATGTTCTTTTTTTTCTTTTTTAATTTTTGTACTTTAAGTTCTGGGATACATGTGCAGAAAGTGCAGGTTTGTTACATAGGAATACACGTGTCATGGTGGTATGCTGCATCTATCCCCCCATCATCTACATTAGGTATTTCTCCTAATGTTAGCCTTTCCCAATCCCCCCACCCCCTCCTATCTTCCCATAACCCCCTTACCCCACAACAGGCTCCGGTGTGTGATGTTCCCCTTCCTGTGTCCATGTGTTCTCATTGTTCAGCAGCCACTTATGAGTGCCACTGCACTATACTGCCTCCACACTGTATTAGTGTATTAGTCAGAGTTCTTCTCAGCCACAACCAATGGGGTGTGTGTGTGTGTGTGTGTGTGTGTGTGTGTATGAGAGAGAGAGAGAGAGAGAGAGATTTAAGGTACTGGCTCATGTAATTGTGGGGGCAGGCAAGTCCAAAATGTATAAAACAGGCCCTCAGTTAAAAACTTGATATTATATATTCAGTCTGAAAGGAAAAATTGATATTATATCTTCAGTCTGAAGGCAGTCTGGAGGCCAAAATCCCTCTTCCTTTGGGGACCTTAGTAGTTTTTCTAAGACTGAGCTGATTGGATAAGACCAGCCCACATTATGGAAGATAATCCATTTCATTCAAAATCTACAAATGTAAAATCCAGTTTCATCTAAAACGTATCTTCCCAGTGACATCTAGGCTGGTATTTCACAAACTGTCTGGGTATATGGCCTAACCAAGTTGGCACACAAAATTAATCATCACAGTTTTTTCAATCTACATGAAACATTCTATGATATAGTTATTATTATAATATTCCCATTTGAAAATTTAAAAACTGATGTTTAATTTGCCTAAATTCATGTAACCAGTTGGCTGAAATCTCTTGATTCAAACATAGGTCTAACCCAAGCCCACACGCTTCCCACTACAGCCCACAGCCATTACACACCACACCTGTCATTGGATGCTTGATAAATACGTGGCAAGTTAGGTATGGCAGGAAATCCACTATCGTCCTGTTGTTGACTCACTAGGAAAAACCCTATTTTCCTCCTTCTAGAAATCACCATTACCCTCCTTCCTTTCAACCATTTGAGATGCAGCAGTGGCGCTGAGGAAGAAGATGTCCTTTTCAGTCCCATACCTTCTTCACCAGTGCTGTTGGCTTAGTGTGTAACATGAGTGAACGCAGGAAGAGGGAACTCAAAACTGCATTTATCCCTAAGAGTAGCACATAACAAACAAAAAGAGCATTACCTGATGGACTGCTGATATTTACATTCTGAGAGAAATCCATTTTTTATCTGTACTCAGTGCAAAGAAAAGATATGAGAAACATTTAAAAATTAAAAGCAATCTACATACATGAGAATAAAGTACCAGCACGAAATGGAGGCATACTAATAAAAATTGTGAGTTTCGCTTCTCCTATGCAGCCACTCCTCTTCTTCCCCAGATTTAACTACTTTTCACCATATCTGTTTTTACTCCTTTAAGTGCAAATCACAATTCTAAATAATATGTGCAATCTTAGACTTCATATAAGATGTTACATTTTTGTATATTATTTTCTTCTTTTCATGGTCTTTTAAACGGATGTTCTTAACAGGCATGAGCTCCAGCACCTAGTCTTGATCTTATTTGTCCTTGTTGCAGGCCAAAAAAAATCTTTTGACCATATCATCAAGTTCCTTCAGCTTCCTAGGTGCATTATTTATAGTTTGTTTTCACATGGACAGAATTCATTGCTGGCTAGGAACACAGAACAGTTGTTAATCTGAAAAGCCTTTTAATTGTATTCTTGGGCTAGCTTCATTCTACCTAAAATTAGCCACCCACCTCCCATGTTCTTTTTTGCTGTTGTTTTTCCGAAAGAGTGACTAGGAAAAATATTTACTTGATTACGCTTGCTTTAAATCTAAGTTAAAATCAAGACTGCTAATAACTTTGAAGGCATTGGTACAGTAGTGTGTTTTTAGGTACATTTAAAAATCTGATGCTGGCTGGGAGTGGTGGCTCAAGCCTGTAATCCCAGCACTTTGGGAGTCCTAGGCAGGTAGATCACCTGAGGTCAGGAGTTCGAGACCAGCCAAACAAACATGGAGAAACCCCGTCTCTACTAAAAATACAAAATTAGCCAGCCTGGTGGCACATGCCTGTAAGCCTCCTACTCAGGAGGCTGAGGCAGGAGAATCGCTTGAACCCTGGAAGCAGAGGTTTCGGTGAGCTGAAATAGCATCATTGCACTCCAGCCTGGGCAACAAGAATGAAACTCTGTCTCAAAAAATAATAATAATAATAAAACTGATGCTAATTTGCTTTGGGGAAAACTATTTATGTAAAACCTTCCTTTAGGATTATGTCTTTACTCATAGTGTTCTGAAATTACCTATCTATCATCTATCTATTTATCTATATCATCTCTTTCTATGTATCATCTATTTTGGTGTCCTGTTCTGAACTTAGCAGGTTCTTATAAGCTGAAAACTCAGATTTTTGGTTTCCCTTTTACCCTTGAGAAATGGTTTACATTACTTTTTCATTATTTTATGTCTACTTTTTTTTCCCGCTTATTTTCTTCTTCGGGAAGCTCGTTAAAAGACCTATTGACCTTCCTGGATAAACAGGTGAATTTTGGTTTTCTGTCTCAGATAGCCTCTTATATTTATTTACGGGTTTTTTTCCTGACCTTTTGCTCTATGCTCTGGGATGTTTGGTTAGCTACCATGACTTTTCAGGAGAAACGGCACAAGAAATAGCCAGGCTACATAGTAGACCTATACACTACTCCCCTCTCTCACTCCAGAACCAAAACAAAGGGGTATACATCTTATTGCACCAACCACCAGTCCATAAATCAGGAGCTCTAGCTAGCTCTATCTATATATCTCACTGTTTTAGAGAGTTCTTTGATTTTATTTTATTTTTATTTATTTATTTATTTATTTATTTTTATTTATTTATTTTTTTGCTTGATATAGGGGCAAAAGCCACTGAGTAAATGGACCAACAGATTGGCAAAGCACCAATCTAAAAGAGCATGGCTTAGAAAGTCTTTCACTTAATTACTTTGCTTTATTTTTTTTGGTTTCAAAGTTTATTTTATTTTTAAATTTAATTGCCAATAAGCATTGCATGTATTCAAGAATTACCTTGTTTTAGACCTTCATTTACCCTCTGACTCTCCTCTCTGAAATGGAGCCCTGACTGAGCTTAACCATGATGAACAGCTTCTGTCTACACTGCAGCTGTCTTTTACGCTTTAACTAAGGTTCTCTCCAATAACATTATTCTATCCAGCTTTCATTTTCTTTAAAATTTTCTCCCCTTTCCATTCGATGTGCTTTAATTAATTTATTCTATTTTGTTATCATTTCTTGTTCTACGGATAGATTCTTGGGAGAGAGGAGATATAAATATTCATGGTCAATACTCCATTTTGACTGGAAGACATGGAAAATTTTAAACGGGTCAAAATCCAAGGACAAATTTTATAGAAACACTTATATTGTAATTGTTACTAATTTATTAGAATAAAAAATATGGCTAGAAAAAATATTTTCTGACTAGTAATTCATCAGCATGTCAAATTTTATTGATTTCTTCCCAACGGCATTTCTCTTTAAAAAAAAAACCAAAAAACTGCATCTTTTATGTCATTTTACCATTTATACTTTGTTGAAGAGAAACTGATTTACAAGAGAGCATGTTGGCCGGTAAAGATCATACTCAGTGTCTAACAAGCAACTATCTACTCCTGAGTTTTAGGAGCATTTTTAAAGCCATAATAATTAGAAGAGCTAATTCAGCTTATTAGAATTGCTGGTTAACAGAAAGCAATACTTACTTAGATAGATTCATAAGAACTAAAAAATAATCGTTTAACATTGAATGTTAAATAAGTGAAAATTTTCCGATTGTTAGTAATTGATTTCAATATAGCACTGAACACATTTGAAGTGTATGATTGATATTCAGAGAAAAAATACATTAAGTAGAATACATATTTGGTCTGAGAAAAGTCTGACATTTTCCCTTGTTGTATTAGGAAAAACACAAAATTGCCCAATTTCCCAATACAAAAATACTTCTTATTAAGAAGTAAAGAATCTTCTACCCTAAAGAAGTTGCTTTAGGACTCACCTATTTTTGGAAATCTCATCTCAAAAGCCCCTAAAATCTATTTCCTGTCATGTTATATGTAAGCCAGTACTCATTTTAGCTCACAGGCTTAAAATCAAAACAAAAAATCAAAGAAACTATAAATTTCTTTGGTTGTTCAAATAGTATAGCTACAGTGTACACATATAAATACCACTTCAGGAAGAAAAAAGTCTGGAAGTCTACCTAAAATGGTTTTCAAAGGGGTCTTAGAAAAACTGTTTAAATAGTGACCTCACAAAGCGATACCAATAAGCATATACTCTTTTAGAAAAAAAAATTACTAAATTTTTATTATAAGATAATAAAGTCAACCTCTGTTGGGGGTTCTTTATAAGAAAAGAGGCAGAATAAATACTAATTTTGTATTTAAGCACTTAATTTTTTTAATGTAATGTAATTTTATAATATGCCATATACCGCTGGTTCATTTAATTTACCAATTTTGGGCTATAATGTATACCTTATCTTGGCATTAAGAGGAATGAAGGATCAATGTTTATCTTCTGAAAATGTTCAAAGAAATAAAAATTCATTACTCACGCCAGAACAGGTCAGTCACTGTCATAATGAAAATAAGGATCCCAACGCATCCAAATATGAGCAGAAGACAGTAACATTGTGGATACAGGGAGAAATCTGAAATGTTGAATTTTATTTCATGAATTTTAAAATTCTCATGATTTTTTCACTTTATAAACATTTTTCTGTTTCATTTTTATTACAGAGATGATTCATATTCATTTTGGATATGTCATTAGAATTTATGATGACATGAAAATTTAAAAATAAAAAAGTCGATAATCCCAAACCAAGGAGATACTACTATTATTTAATGTTTTGAATTGTACTGAGATGGCTTTGTTAATTATTTGGTGGTGCTTTTGAAGACCTAAAATTGATGTCTTGAATTCCATATATATTATAGATACAAATAAATATGATATATAGTTATATAAATTATATATATTTATTACAACATATTAATATATAAAATATAAATATATGCACCGTAAATGTATATAATACATTATTTTATATGTGTAAATTATATAGAAAGAATAACATATAGAATATACATATCTATGTCAGGCACGATGATGTGTTTTACTCAATTTAGTGACTCACTGTAAGAAATAAAAGAGGGAAAGAAATATTTATTAAAGTTCTAGTATATACCAGTCACTGTACTGGGTATATTCACATTTTATTTCACCTTATACGTGTAATACATTATATTTTTCTGGATTTGGCTTTCTAGACAGGAATCAGTTTCAGCCTAGGCAGTGTTAGATCTCCAATAAATGATACTTATAAGGAATCTATGCTATAGTATTTCATTGCATTAGAGTTGACAAGAATAGTTTCCTTACAGATGAATAAACAAGTAACCTCTAGAGAGGGTAAACAGGAACATATATATATATATATGATAATCCTCTTCCAATTTTATCTACTTTCTTCTACATATTAGCACTTTTGAATAAATTAGATGTATACACTTTTTTTCACAAAATTATGACAGGTTCGTTTTACATGCAGACATCATATGATTAGTATCTCAATCTAGAATCATTCTAGTCAATTTGCCAGGCTAGTTGTCAAAGAGAAAGCAAAGTAATTTGAGATACTCTGATAATTATTCCCTAGTTTTTGTTATTTTATCTATAAGCAAGCCCTTAATTTCATCATCTTGGTTGTACATTTCACAAAAAAATACGTCTTCTAAGTCATAATAAAAGTGCTGTTTTTCATATCTAATTACTGTGTGGATGCCTTACGTCAATAGGTTTTATGGATTTACTGCATCTGATTAGCTCTATGGCATATACTTAGAGAATTTACTATATGTAGTATACCTTTGGAAATTTACCACTCAATTGTCTGTATTACTAAGTCCAAAATAGTTTTCTTTTTTTTAACCTACCTGTATATATTTCTACTGTTCAAGGAAATATGGAAAGACTTCTACTTAACTGAAAATCATCAAAATACATTTCTGTAATTTTATGAGGAAATACCAATCATAGGTATATGGACCTGCAGTTAACTGGTAATAAAGAACAAGTGCTCATTCCATACATGCCAGGGAGGGAGACTTTAAAGTTCTTGCCAAATAAGATTTATAAAAAACCTAACAATAGATCAAAACTTAATATTTTTATGTAAGCCATGATTTACATACTGTATCAAGCCAGTGAACAGAGAGCTGAGTACCTGACGCGCAGTATGCTGGCCTGTCCTAGCAATGCTTGGCTAGATGCCATTGGCTTACAAGGAGCTATATAAAGAAATTGACCTTCAAAATCTTTTAATGCTACTATTGCAAGAACAATAATTGTCTTATTTTATGTGCTTCATGAGAACTCAGGAAAATTTTTTTTTCTGAATTAGGATCAAGATTAGTTATACCTATCTTAAGAAATAGGTGTCACTTTATCTCATACACAATGTGAATTGAACAACTAGTCAGGCTTCCCTTATCTCAATAATAACAAGGAAGCTTAGAAGCAAATGTATGGCAAGAACAAACATGCCTACAGTAATCTTTCTGGCCCAATTTATTTCCCCACCCCTATCCTTCATTTATAATTTAAACAGATATTATCTTATATTTTATGTATCAATACTCAGATGTTAAGTACATACTTGTGTATTAAAAAGTAGTTTATAGATTAAAAATAGTAAATTTAGTTTAACATCCACATAAAAGCATCATTAGGTAGATTTTTCTTATTATAAATCAATGTACTGAGATTTAAGAAGACTAAATGCTTCTGCCCAGAGCTCTACATTTAGCCTGTGGGCTATAGGGTCTGACTCAATTTGTTTTGTTTTGTTTTGTTTGTGATGGAGTCTCACCCTGTCACCCAGGTTGGTGTGCAGTGGCATGATCTCAGCTCACTGCAACCTCCACTCCCTGGTTCAAGTGATTCTCCTGCTCAGCCTCCCACATAGCTGGTATTACAGGTACGTGCCGTGTCACACAGCTAGTTTTTTGTATTTTTAGTAGAGACAGGGTTCCACCATATTGGCCAGACTGGTCTCGAACTCCTGACCTCAGATGTTCCGCCTGCCTCAGCCTCCCAAAGTGCTGGGATTACAAGAATAGCCACTGCCCCTGGCCTGACTCAGTCAATTTAGTACCATTGGTACTAGCTTTTGCTGCATCATGGAAGTAAGTTACTACTGAAAAGCAAACATTTGTTTCATGATATCAAAACACAAAAAGATCCTGAGTCTTCAGATAATGACAAAAGCATCATTTTGGGGGGTAAGGGGGTTTGCATTTGCTAGATATAAAATGAGATAGTACACCAGAATGTTTGATACATATGGCAGAGCTGCCACTGTGGCTGGTAATTCTGAATTTCTAGCCTATGTCATCTTAACTTAGGTCTTGACTATTTCAACAAGATTGTTTTCAAAATTCCTTTTAGACAAATCGAATTCAGGCACCAGCATGTTGTTTACCAAGCTTGTCTATAGAACCTGTAACAGACCTTAAAAAACAAAAACCAACCACACAGAGCAGCCCTAAGGAGCAAAGATTAACGTTTTTCTTTTCCCCTCTTCTCTCATTCCCAGTAGATTGTTCTACCAATCCTACAGAGCTTTTATGAGGATTAAAACTAATATATATATGCTTTTTTAAGCTGTAAAGCACTACAGGACCACTGTTACTCCCACCATCACTAGATCTTGCCTTCCAACTGTAATAGGCAACTTCACCAAATATGTTTTCGTAGATACCATACCAAGATAAGTGTTTCCATAAACTTTAAGTTTCGTAGGAGGAAGTTTCTGTAAAAACGCAATTTTTCAGCCGTTTCTTTGAAAGTTACACTCTTTCTTATGCCACAACACACAGGATTATACATCGTCATATTAGCATTTCTCTTACCTCATGGCTCTGAAAATGCTGCATTGTTATTGTTGATGCTTTCATGAATCTAAATAATCTATCTCAGACAATTTATGACCATTTTGATATTTCTTCTTATGATCAATTTTAAGATATTAAAAATATTCAAAGATAATTCTCTTCCTAGAAGAATAATGCAATTTTAAACTAAATGGGGGAATGGGGGACAATATTCCTACCTTTAGATTTCTGCTTGGATTTACAACCATTCTTGAAATTCAGCATCATGTACCCATCTTCATTCTCCATCTCTTCAAATGTTTAATATATTATTATCCAGAAGATAGCACAAAGAAAATGGAAACTAATCTCAACCTGGGTATGTCTCTTAAGCACAAGATACCAAAGAAACTAAAAGGAAGACCAAAAATAGTCAAAATTTATTCAGACTCAGATGTCTAAAACCACACAGGATGTGCTGGTAAATGAAAATGGACATAAGCTTGTTAACATTTGGCTATAATTCTGTGGATTTCAAGATAAAGGTAGCTAGTCCATTCTACTCTTTCCAACAAATGGACTTGTGTGTACCTGCCGTTTGTATGCGGTATATTAGAAACTTAATGGTGAACAAGATAGACGTACTTGCTTCCTTCATATCTTTTATCACCAAGTAAGAGAAAAAATAAAATAAACCAAATAATCTCTAACAAAACAAAACAAATCTCTAGGTAAATAAAAATTCAAATTTTAAATTAAAAAAAGTTAAAACAGTCATTTTGCTATTTGGGACATATTTGATTCGTAGGGTCCAAATAACAACGGTTGGATGGGACAAGATGGTAAAATAAATGATCAGCAAGTCTCAAGTTAGTGAAAGTAAGAATCGCTTTAAAAAATTTCACTTTTTTAACTTTTTTGTTTGTTTGTTTGTTTTTCAGAAAATGCCTGACAGATTTTCCTTCAGTAGGTGTGACGGTTTATTTTGTGTCAACTTGGCTGAGCCGCAGAGTCCAGATACTTGATCAAACATCATTGTGTTTATTTCTGTGAGGGCGTTTTTGGAAGGGATTCATATTTAAATTGGTGGCCTTTGAGTAAAGCAGATTTGCCTTGCTGTAATGTGATTGGGCCTCACTGAGTCAATTGGAGGCTTGAATAGAGCAAAAAGACTTATCTTCCCTGAGTGAGAAAGAATTCTCCAGCAATGGCCTTCAGACTTTATCTGCGACATTGGCTTTTCCTGATTCTACAGACAATAACTAGACTTTGCACTTGAATTGAAACACGAGCCTTCCTAGGTACCCAGTATGTCCATGCCCACTTGCAGAATTTTGACTTACCAGCCTCCATAATCACATTCCTTATTGTGTGTGTCTGTGTGTATATATATATATATATATATTTACTTAACTCACACACACACACACACACACACACACACACACACACACGCACACTAATGGTTCTGTTTCTGCTACATGGCCACTCAATATCAATTCATTGATTAAACACCAGAGTATCTGGGGAAAGCGGCTGACTGTTTCCCACAGCACATGTTGTGTCCACCTGGTTATTGAGTCTCCTCCTCAACACTGGATGTCACTTGTGAGCATGTACATGGGAATAAATATTTACACACTCTGTGTCCCTTCTGCGTGATCACTGTATGTACCTCTCAGCTTCTCATTAATTTTTGTATTTTCTTCTTTTTGAGTTTCTGATAAGGCATCTCACCTGTTAATTTCTGACAAGACAATTTAGATTACTTCTCTGAGTGCTTATCCTTCCTGTCAGGTGAACAACCAGACATATTACCCAAACTTCAGTTCATTGGGAAGATTTACCTTCACTTCTGTCTTTCACAGTCTTCTTCTGAATGGGATTATAGTATGGCATCTATTTCCAGTTGCCATCTTTTACATATCCATTTCTAAACCTCAGTATAAGATCATACAGAACACTTTTCCCCATGCCCCAACCCAGACCATAGGTATGTTTGAGGTGGAGATAGCAAAGGAATGTGAACCTGTGCCATCGGAGTCTGAGTCATCTGCTCATGTAATTTACTGAGCTTCTTTGGAACTGCTCAGGCCTGGACTCCAAAATGCCATAATTATATTTATGATAAAATGTTTCTGTGCAGTTGTAAACTTAGGGTTCATTGGGTCAAAGTGGTCAAGTTAGATCAATTTCATGCTGGTGGACATAATATCTTATAAAAATATGTAGAACGTTTACTGCTTACATTTCACCAGGGATAGTTAGCATGATTGCATCAATGTAATGAATCTATTATATGCAACCAGTTCTGATGTATATCATGTTGGGAGCTATATCAAGATGATTTAGTTCTCTCTGGCCATCTTATAACAGAGATCAGGAGTGCTGACGTACACCTAGGCAAGGCGGCAAAGAAATATTTGTTATTTTTGTTTGTAAATACAAGCCAGAAACCATCACAGGTTCTCAGCATTTTCCCAGTATATAGTCATTCAAGAAAATGACTGAAGTTTCCTCTGGTTTAGGTGTTGGGGAATAAATGTCATAATTATACCCGTGACCATGTTACAATGTCCTTCACCAAGACAGCCAACCTATCTCCTTTCCAGTTGAGTGGTCCCTGGTCTGGGAAAAGCTTTGCCTACTAACTGCATTGAAGTCTGGGGATTGGGTAAGACACAATGAGTCTCCTCTCTGAGAATATTGTTAAGTTTCCAGCCAACATGCGTGGATTTTTCCTTTGCATATCAGCAGCTCCTTAGTTAAATATCCTTTCTTTTTGCTTTTTCTTTTTGTTTTTTTTATTTCCCAAAACTTCAAAATAAGCTAATCACTGTCACAGATTTCTGTGGATGAAAACTCTGGCTTATTCCCTCTGGCGTATTGTGTCAAATTCAACCCCTTGACCTCTAGAATCAAATTATTACCAGTGATATCAGAAAGCCTGATTTCCACTATAGCATCTTCCACTACATCTGTGATCAACAGAGAACAGCTGCCACAACAGACGATCACCAGTTTCTCTCACCACACCATTCTCCACCCCTTAACCTTCCAAAAAATCAACTCACAAAACTGGCCTTGAGAAGAGGAAATCAAAGCTTAGAGGAGGCTGTAGAAAGGAGATCAATGACTGCCTAGCCTCCTCACTGTATAAAATGTGGTGACCTTGAAACTGCTCCCCCACGCCCATGCTGAACTCCAGACCCCTCAGTTCTACCCCAGGGCCATCAAGTAGCTTCAGAAACTTCTCTTTTCTTTACCTTCTATGCCTGGGCTAATTCTCTCCTTATGAGTCTAATTCTCTCAGTATGTGTCTAACAGATTTGGTGGGATTGAATGCTGAAGTATTTTAGAGTATCAAAACTTGAAGATGTCTAAAATTTACATCTTAATGTTTTTCCCAAACTATAGATTTATCCAGTGTTTTCTACACAATTAGTAATGAAATTCTGTCAGTTTAACCCCCTGCACATTTCCCTAGTAAATTCATTACTTCCCATTTTAAAAGCCACCATCTTGGCTCAACCACCATGTGGGCTGACACCATTCCTTCATGGCATTTAGTCTCCTTTTGCCCTCTCCCCTTGTCCCATGAAAAACAAAAGAGTATTTTTAAGGGTTGAGATCCTTAATAAATGTGATGCCCAAAAAATCCAAAATAGACATAGAAAATGTGCATCTTTTACAAAATTCATATTCTCATGTATTAATTGGTTAATAAAAGGAAATCTATTCTCTACAGAAATGTTACAACTTTACACTTCTGAAATTCAGAATTTCCAAGACCTATATGAGATTATTATTTTAGTTTTATATAAGATTTTTTTTAAAAAAATGAGACAGGGTCTTGTTCTGTTGCCCAGGCTGGATGCAGTGGTGTGATCATAACTCACTGTAACCTTAAGCTCCTGAGCTCAAGTGATTATAGACACATTTTCAATCTGATAGGCTGTTGTATTGTTTCACTTTATTTTTTATTTTATTTTTGAGACAGAGTCTTACTCTGTCACCCAGGCTGAGTGCAGTGGTGTGATCTCAGCTCACTGCAACCTCTGCTGCTGGGTTCAAGCGATTCTCCGATTGCAGCCTCCGGAGTAGCTGGGATTACAGGCACCTGCCACCATGCCCAGCTAATTTTTGTATTTTTAGTAGACATGGAGTTTCACCATCTTGGTCAGGCTGAACTTGAACTCCTGACCTCGTAATCCACCTGCCTCAGCCTCCCCAAGGATTACAGGTGTGAGCCATCACGCTCAGCCTGTTTCAGTTTAGATTTCTTGAATTTTCATTGCTTTTAGACAACTTTGGATACATTAACTATGTATGCCTTTTATGAGTTAACTATTTGTGCCTTTGTTCATTTTCTGTTACTAACGTATTTATGACTATTCTGTCATATATTTTCACTCATATATTAATTCATTCAGTAAGACTTTTTGAATATGTTATGCTGCAGGCACTGTTCTAACTACTGAGAAGACATCAACAAGTAAAACAGAAAAACACCTCTGATTTCATAGCTTCATGGAGCTTTCATTCCAGTGGCAGAGACACATTACTCACTGCCCAGGAGTTATATATGTTTTAAATGTGGGTAACTTTTATTGCCTTATGAATCTCAGTTAGTGGGGCTATAGTGTAACCATAGTCCATTTAATGCTTTCATCTACATCCAAAACAGACCTTTCTAAGAACCAACTCAACTTTATTCCTTGTTTATCAGCAGGTTATAGGAAATATCTTAAACAGCCATATAGACATGAGCCAAGGGAGAGGTGCCAGTGAGACAGCTGGGTAGTATTATTTCTGAAGCTTGCCTGTCCTCTCTGGTTGACATAGGGGTCTTCAGCTTGCCTTTTCATTGAGAATCTGCCTGTGCTGATTCTGGATATACCAATTCATCTTATAATGAATTGCTGCTGGGAGTGCTTGAACTTATTTGGTGAGTCTTACAGGTTT